TTTGAGATTTCACCATGGGATTGAGAACTACATGAGGAATATCTCTTAGAAGTTATTTTAAGTGTAGAAGCTTAATCAATTTGCCTAGATGCAACCAAGCTTATATATTTTAATGGAACTACTAAAACCCTAAAATCATATCACCTTCTGATTTTCAATATGTAGAATACTTTCTGGGGGTTGGTTACAATTTTCTAAGTTCACTTTATAATTTTTGCCATTAAGAATACCTCAAAATGCAAATGAAGGCTCTCATGAGGAAAGTAAATATATGAATTTTGGTTTTCCCACAGCAATTCTGTGGAGCATCCTAGGGCCTCAAAGTCCCTGATAAGCTCCTATAGTTGGATATTGTATATCTTGCTAAGTACTGCTGATGGTTTGTTTTAGGTTAATGGTGGTAGAAATTAAGAGAAGGGATGCATACTTTATTTTTTTAAAGTTTCTTCTAATTATACATAACAGTAGAATGAATTTTAAGATGTCATACATAAATGGCATTTAATATCTCATTCTTCTGGTTGTATGTGTTATAGAATCATATAGGTCATGTAATTATATGTGTACCTAGGGTAATAATGTTCATTCATAGGTATTCTTCCTACTCCTTTACCCCCCTCCCCTCCCTCCACTCACCTCTGCCTAATTGAAAATACCTCTATTCTTCCCTAGAAGGATCCTCCTGTCTCATCTCCCACCTCATTGGCATTACAGGTGTCCACCACTGTGCCTGGATTTCATTCTCATTTACTCTGACTTCATGGGTAATATTTCTTTTCTCAAAGATTCATTTCGATTGGCACATGGTAAGTACATATTGCCGTGGTATAGTGTAATCTTTTTGTTTCATGGGTAATGATCTATCTCAATCATTGCTTTGTTATAAATATATTTTTAAATAATCTTTCCTATAGTTAGTTTTGGATATACAATACATTATGTCAGCTATATTCACCCAGTTCTGCAATAGAACACCAGAACTTATTCCTCCTAACTGTAATGGTGTTCTGGTTGACAAATCTCTCTGCATCCTCTCACACTCTTCCCAGCTTCTGGTAACAACTATTCTCTCAACTGCTATGAGATTTATTATGTTAGATTCAACATGTAGGTCAGATCAGCTAATGCTTGTCTTTCTGTGCCTGGCTTATTTTATTTAGCGTAATGTCCTCCCTGTCCATCCATGTTTTTGCATATGACCAGGCTTCATTTAATTTTATGACTTCATAATATTTCTTTTTATGTATCACATTTACTTTATTCAGTTTGTCAGTTTATGGGCACTTCTGTTGTTTTCATTTCCTGGCTATTATGAACTGTGCTACAATCAACACAGTAGTTAAGGTGTTTTTTTAACATGTCCATTTCATTCCCTTTTGTGTACACCCAAAGTGGGATTGCAAGATTACGTGGTACCTCTACTCTTAGTTTTTGGAGGAACCTTCTTATTGTTTTTTTGTAGCAATTGAACTAGCTTACATCCAACTATCACATTCTTCAAGAATGGTTTTTGTGACTTGCCTACCACCTGTATCCCAATACTTTCCCTAATATTATGACTTTCTAAGTATGAAAATATATGCCTAGCCAAACCACTGTCTCACTATTCTCAATACTGTCATGTAAAAGCAAAGTTTCTAAATGTTTCCCAAACAAATAATGACAGTTTCTGGCTGGAACTTTATTAGATTTTTATGCAGAGTTATCTTTGACTTTCTTAATTATTTACAGAGTTCATTTCAATAAATTTATTTTTTACATTTCCACTGTATTATTAGTTTTAAAAACTGAGTTATAATTTTTACTTTACCATATTTGTTAGGAGTGCCTGAAATCTACCTTTGTATCCCAGACTGTAGGTTAAAAATGGAGAACTTCACAAATACTGTTGAATTTATGTATTGA